CTTCTGAAGGCAGCATCTTTGAGCATCCTTCTGTCGAGGCAACAATCCAGAAAATCTTTTTCGGGGAGGACGGTGCGGTATCCAGCCCCAGTGCACGGAACGCGTCTTCGGCTGGTGTGTTTACCGCGACCCAAAAAGTGGTCCCTTGATATGCGCCTGATGACGTAACAAAAGTGTCAAGCGGTCGTCGGCCGTCACGATCCTGGCGTTGTCACAACAGTGGTGGTACATGTGGCAGACGCCTGTTCGTTGCGGGTCGCTTTCCAGCTCGACAGTGCGCGGAAACTATACGGCAGCCAGGAGTCCGGGCTCAACGACGGCAGCGACACTCGCCTTCGCCCGTATTGTTTGACAGGGAGTTCTGGCACCAACCGCAAAGAAAGCGACGTCCGACAACGTGACCCGCCAGCTCCTCTGATGTCCTTTGTTGCCACATCGGGACCACTCTTGATGTGTGACCGGGACAGGACGCTAAGCACACCAGTCGAAGACGTGTTCCCGGCACCGTACTACTTCGACCGCAAAAGATCCGAAAAAAGTGGTAATGTGAGCGATGGTGCCTCATATTCTAGGAAGAGCATAGGAAGCAGCCGTAGAAATGGCAGCGCAGACAATAATGTGCAGCAAACGAGGGCGCAAAGAAGGAAGCCACAGCATCCTAATGCCACTCTCGTTAACACTGAAGAGCAGAAGGTAATACTGCTTAATTGTATTAATTGTATACTTATCTAGATCATTCGGCACTCTTTTTAAATTGGTCCCTGCAGGGGCGAAAACAAAGATGACTTATAGCAAAAGATCAATAAGAAACACATTTCAATTAACATTTCACATTCAAATAAGCAGGCGCATTGAAAAATAACTAGCCTAAAATCCTGAGAGATGTCCCAAACCCCGAATGATAGCCCACCCCAATTTTTGGCTTGATTTGCTATGTTTTTTTAAACACCTAAAGATAGCCCACTCCTTGTAATAGTATTGTTGTGATCAATGATGGCCTCAGCATAAATGCCACTAGTTAGCTTTGGCCGGATATAAGCGAAGGTTGCCGGCTGGGAAATAGTCATCTTTGCTTCGTTGCCTCTCGCCACCATAACAAGCTTGAAAGGGTGACGACCTCAAAATAGCAATTGTTTTTAAATTTTCTTGATTGTACGCCGAAAGTTATCCCACTCCATATTTTCACCCAATTTGCTCTTGACGTTAGATTAGGAGATCTATCGGGATTTTACGGTATGTGTTTAAGTTGCCAACATAAGCAGTCATTAGTCTACCAATCATATTGCAACGCTTGAATCACAGAATCCGTGTAAAAAAACGGGAAAGAAATAGAACACAGAAAGAATCATCGTTGACTGTTCTATTGAAATCTAAGCCAGGACAATCTTGAGGTAATGCGTTTAATCCTAAAAAAAAGTCAAGCTCCAAAAAAAAAAGCCAAAAAAAAAGGCAGAATGCAAGATGTGGCTTGATGGCAGCAGCAGCCTTGATGGACTCCATTAATGAAACGAATGCGTAAAGTGTGGCAGGTAATGATTGTGTTATATTTCATTGTAATATATAAGCAGAAGTTCCTGAACGGTAATGATATATGATGTGAACTATTATTGTAACATTCTATCATCGGAATGCCCCCACCAGACAGAAAAAAACAGTATAGCGACACTAACACATGTTCATCCATCCTCTTTCACCCTTAACATCACCACAACGGTGCTAAAACAACAGTGCTTAAAGGGATGGCTTCATATACCTCTAGAAATTCTCAATTCTACGCTGGAAAGAGTTGTCAAAAATACCGTTTCAAATATTTCTGTCGTGATCGCACGGTTAAGACACTGCGTTCAAAATTTCTAGCGTAGCGTCATTTTCTTACACTTTCAGAATAAGGGGTATATTCTTACACCCCCTGTCCCATAAAAGGCACCCCAAAACTTCAATTCGACGTACAGCGCGCTGACGTCGAACAGACAGCATCAGCTTTTACGAGGTGCTTGAGAACGGTGAAATACACCTCATTAAACAGCTAAACTACGTATCAAAGACTAAGTAAAAAAAAACACTGAGGTTTTGCAGTAATTCCAAAAAAAGACCGATAACTTTTTTTTTTGTTGTTTTCAAGACACGTACATTAGCTATTTTGATAAGTTGTTCCACTCAGCTATCAAGCCACCTGTGAAAGTTGGGAACGTCGGTTCAACGTCAAGGCGCTGTACGTCGAAATGAGGTTTTGGGGTGTCGTATATGAGACAAGAAGTGTTAGAATATACCCTTTCTTTCTGAGAGTGTACGCTAGGTGTCTCATTACAATGTTAAACATTTGCAGTTCAACACTGGAATCCATGAATGAAATGCAAAACAAGTACTGCCTAGACCATGAGTAAAGCTCCATTAAAAAGGTCAGGTCACTTGAAGAAACGACTCCAAAGTACTTGAGCTCGAATCTTGCAAAAAGACGCAAACAAACAGTCGTAGCTCACAAAAGTACGCCGAATTTTTGGTAAGGCTGCACGGAAACCCGCAATCACACTGCTAATACATGCTGTAAAAACACTCTGGAGACAGTAGAGAGTTTTAGGGAACCGTTTTTGCACATCCCATACGGTTCAATGGGCCCTCCAGTGTACTCACTGCGCATGCGCCAAAGCGTAAGCCTCGCACATGCGCAGTTCGTTCCGGAGTGCCCATCGTACTGTATTAAATATGCAAAAATGGTTCCCTGAATCTCTCGAATCAAGCAGCCCCAAAAGCGTATCGTTGCGGCTCTTGTCTTCTCTGTCCACCGGATAAACCAATTACGCAAAGTAAAAAAGATGTAATTCTGCAATCGATATCTTCCATGATAGCAAATGCACGAAGACGACCAGAGCCGTTACTACGTGCTTTTGGTAATGTTTAATCGGCTCCATTGAATCATAACATCGGCTATGGTCGTACTTAAAGGGGCCTGTGGTTGAAAAAACCCCGAGACTGCGGGTAAACGACACAACACTAAAAAGTCTCTACCATGTGCAATGTACACCAGCTCGTTTGCGCCCTTACTTTTTGTTCATTAAAGGTGCCCTCCGGAGCTTTCTGCGATCGTCTGTTTATGTTGTTAAATTGCGTAGTAGGTGCAAGTTAATATGTATACAAAGTTTTAGATTACAAAACCGTTTATTAAGAAGATGGCAGTAGAAATATATTGGGACTATTTACTCTTGGAAGACAATCCCCCATTCCCTGCCCATCGCTAAAACTTGACCAATGGAAGTGCTGCATCTCGCGGTGAATGTATTATTGCAACACTTTTTAAGCTTGTTGTAAATTAGAGTTTGAGAAAAACGTAAACTTATTGTGGTGCGGGAAACATAGTCTGCAATTATCGCTCAAAAACCAGCGAACTATGTTTTCGCCCCGCAAGCTTGTAGCTAGGGGGTGATGCGTCGGCGCGTCAGCTCGTCTGCTTCCCGGGGCGTCTGCAGGTGTGCGTTTGCGGGACACGTGTTCCTTCCTGTGGATCCCGACTCCGAAGCCGGCTTTGCGATCCTTCCACGTCAACGAGTCAAACTTTTCCTTGTCATCTGTGGAATGCGACTGCGTATTGCAGTAGCAGCGCGACGGCGCGGTGCGACGAACGACGACTGCCGAGCACAAAGTCCGGGCTCCTTGACGACGGTCCCCGCGTGTTCGAGAGATTCCTCCGCGGGTCGGCGGTCGGCCGCGTTGGTGACGCGCAGTGACACCGGAATCCTTCGCTTGCTATTGGCTGACGCGTAAAGAGATGCCCCTCCCGTTTTCCGGGGTCATCTCAGAAAAGGGGGCGTGCCGGGGACTTTGATAGGAATTTTAATAGGGAAATCCGCCGCGCATGACCGTAATTTTATGATTTTTAGGATCCTTAAGGCCTGTAGATTGAGTTACCGCCATAAATAGACCATCGCAAAACGCTCCGGAGGGCCCCTTTAATGGGTGACCGAGTTTTAAGAGCCTCTCGCGACACTTTTCCGACATCGAAATTTCGGATCGTCTGCAACCTATACACCTTTTCCACAAGGGCGCGGCCATGTTGAACGTCGTCACTTCTGGTATGCAGTAAACTTTGTTACGATCTCTCCACGCCGCTGGAACGTGCTTACGAAAAATGCGTGATTGCCACACATTTTTTTTTTGTTTTTTGCCTCACCTGTATTTGCTTGCGTGTTCTAGGTTGAAGTGTTTCATTCTTTTTTCGTCCTGCATACCAGATACGGAGCCCCCGTGAGTGAGAACAACAGGAAAGAGAAAATGTCTATAGAGTCATTCAAGCGATTTCCATCTGATGGCAGGGCAGCCTCGGCTAGTCAGACCGTGCCCGGTGACCTACTGACAGGCACTTGAACACTTGGCACGAAACCCGTTGGAAAACAGGCTAAACATAATTACTTGTACAATCGGCGTATTACGCGCTATAGCATTTCATTATTGTTTTGAATTTAAATCCTGGAAAGAAAGCATAGAATCGTAGATTTATCTTCCTTTCCTGCCAACTAAAATTAGACAAAAATTAAAAAAGTGCCTCGATATTATTTATTTGATGAACTCGGAGACGCGCAGCATGTGTCGAGAACAACCCGAGCATATGCTGTATGCATAACGACACGTGACGTAAGGTGTTCCGTTTATTAAAATTTCAACTATGTGTAAAGCCTGAATCCTGTGGTGCGATTTTACTTGAGTTTCCGCAGTTGCGGCGTCGTTCGTGCGGCAACAAAGGCATGGTGGAGGCTGAGGTGACCGACGTCGCATTTGAAAAATCGCTAGCAAAATAGCATCATGTGATTCTGGCTAGTGTCGAACCAAACAGTAGAGCGTGATGGTCGTGTATGACGGACGAACGTAATGATCTTTTCCATAAAAACGGTTGGTAAAATACATTCAGCGTTTGAAAAAATGTTCAATTTATTCTACCAACAAATAGTAGAAGAAAAGTAATGTTAGCCATAAAGGTGCGCTTTATCAAGAACGTGGTTTCGCCACAGTAAAAGCTCGCAGATTCTGCACTAGGAGATGGATCTGAGGTAGAAGTCTCGGAGTTCTCTCCGAAGGTACTTCCCGGACTCTGACTTCGGTAGTTCACTGAGAAACTGGACTCCACCATGCAGGTGCTTGTGAGGGGCCGAAGTTTCTGCAATGTGGAAATAGAAAACAGTTTTACGAAGCCTCCGGAAATGCCGCGCAATCCTGAACACTGTTTTTTTTTTTTTTTTGCCTTTTTTGGGGGGGAGGGGGGGGGGAAGGGGGGTTGCCTATGCTAGGGTTTCCCGAGCTGCGTTGTCGCAACGCCAAAGGGATCGCAACAGATTAAGCGGAGGGTCGCGAAGCTGCTCTGCAACTCGAACAGAAACACAAAATAGGCTTCGCCGCGGTCGCGTCAATAAAAACAAAGTTCAGGCCGCATTTCAACAACGGGCAGGAACTGCGAGTTGCGGCTTCTAAGCTCAGCCCTCAATTTGAGATACTATGTTCTAACGGACAAGCAATCTTCATTCATTAAGAACAGTCAGTCCTGCTGGCATGCGTTTATCAGTTTATTTTTGTGCAATTCTTCCTGGCTCAGATGATTTGTTCAACATCATGCCGGGCATGTAGATTATCGCCCGAAACCATCGAGCACATTGTGCTCTCAAGTCCAAGGCTGCACGCAAAGCACCCAGCGGATTGGTGTACTGATCAAGACAGCGGGCACAGCAGCCTGGCGGGGTCCTACGCCGTGATCAATTACTGGAAAAGGCACTCGGATTCCAAACTTCTGGGACAACGCAAGGTGGGGTTACCAACACGGCAGCAGCTGGGGTTATGCCAAGGCCCGGCAAGCGCGGCGAGCTGTGCAAGGACTCAGCCGCAAGGTCTAAAAGGCGGCTGGAAGATCGGTGGGGATGGACAAAAAAGCAATAAAAGCTTTAGTTTATTTTTTGTTTTGTTTTCTTGGCTAGTTTGTAATGCCCACTTCAAACCGCCCCATTAAAAAAGAACAACCTCAAAATCATCATCGCCAAACCTTCACTGTTTCCAATGGTAAAATGATTACAGACTTTGACACTGCTGAACTTTCAGTTTCGATCCCAGCACGTAACAGAGTTCGGAAGTTACATCACGTCATCAGGCCTGTAATTTCCCTACGCACCCCCTAATGGGGAAGTACACCCCCCCTTGTTTTTTTTAAGGCACCCTCTTAATTCGCAACGACTCCTCTATTCTCAAGGCCCCCGCCCTAAAAATTTAGACACACCCCCTAATTTCAATTTTTGGGGAAACTCCTGCCAGGTCTCCATCTGGTGACGTGACGGAACAAGCAGTAAGGCCTCCTCGTCTTGGCGGTGTCAACATGGCGCCGAGTCTATGATAGAGAAAAGTATGCGAGACGAATTCAATAAACTTTGAGCAACAATCCCAAAAAGTCGTGCGCGATTTCCAGTAGCGCGGTTACTTGCCTGCCCTCCCCGCTCGCCTGCGTATCCTCCGTCGCATTTGTTGACTACTATAACCGGTTCTGTGCCTACAGTTCCCGCCATTCGTTTATGCGCCTCGAAAGGCGCCGCACGTTTTGCATCAGGTATCTCAAAAAAACCTTGCAAGCGCCAAATGTACAAGTTCATCAGTTTGGCGGGCAAATGGGATGCTTTGATTGAGCAAAAACGAATGTTCCGAAAGGCCGCGCGCCAAGTCTTGTACACTTCTCCTCTCCCCCGCAACATCTACCACGTGACACTAAAGAGAGCGCTAACACCGGTACTATACCTAGACTTCCCAGCATTCATTTCGGTGCCGCGGACGGCCCTGCACGTTAGGCAAAATCTCTATTGGCGGCTTGTACGCCATCGAAAGCGTAGCTGTGGTCAGATTTCCAAGAGTGTCCGTACACTGTGCACTCCCTATGACTTCTTCGGTGGGATTTATTTTTCCTTCATCGCCGGAAATAAGAGTAATACAAGGATGTCAACATTGACTGTTTAAGAATACGGTGACTCCCAATTTCATAATTTGTGACGTCCCGGTAAGACAAGCATTCGTAGGGACGTTACTTGGGAGAACCGAAAGAGGGCGTCACCGAAACACCTTGACCCTACGCAATAGCCATTCGAAAGTGCCAACATTTCTACCTACCGGCAACAAGCGTCTCTAACTCTTGGACGATCCGCTCCAAGGGCACGTGAGCGGCTTCTTCCGAGAGCACAACGAAAGCCCTGGCTGCCTCCCCGTAAGGGTTGTGCGGCACCCCAGCCACCGCCACCTGGACCACGAGCGGATGCGTCATGAGCAGGTCTTCGAGTTCGGCTGGCGCCACCTGCTGGTCCATGCACTTTATCAGGTCCTTGACTCGGTCCACGATGTACACTTTACCGTCGCCGTCAAAGTGTCCCAAGTCACCTGCGTTAGAATTGAGAAACGGTCCCTACCTTTACACACACAACCTAAAATACTCAAATTATCACTTCTTTTATTTTTATAGCCCCAATCATTTTTTTTAATCCCCGTATAGGGAGTATTCACTGGCGGCCATATCTGTGCGCGTGGTTGCTGAGCGCGTGCTGACGGTGAGCTTCCACAGTTCTTTTGCAACGTGCATTCCACACCCTCAAGATTGCCGGTCTTAGCAGGCTATTAGTGTAAGTTTGTTCTGAGCATGCGCTCTAAACAGAAAACCATAAATATGGCGTCCAGTGAATAGACCCTATACCCCGTGCCTATGACAATATTGGCCCCCATAAACGTCAGAACGCTAACACGATGGTAAGGGTAGCTTTATGTTTCGCTAGATCACTTGTGATAACTTCCGTTAGGTAAAGTTCATGCAGGTCATGTGTACATCTTAGGGTTTGAATGAGCTAAGTCAGGTCGCACACAATCTACACATGACTGGCACTGACGTCCCATCAGCGGTCATTATGGTAGCCGTGCCGAGCGCGTACCTTCTGCAGCATGCATTTCGCACCATCCAGTTTGTTTTTCTCAACAAAAACATGCAGGAAGGAACCGATTTGACCATGAGCCCCATCCGACGATGTCACGTGCAAGCCATGTGTACTGTATAATCTAACCACTCACACATACAACTGAATCAGAATGCCGCCGGCTCCCACCGAGTCCCAGCGTGACTGCTCCACTTCTGCGCGGTGCACAATGTTCAGAGACGCCTATCGTCCGACTGTCGACCCGAGATAAACAAGGAAGGATCACACGAGTCCGATGCTTCTTTAATTGTGGCTCCCACAGCTACCCCAAGGAAGTATTCACTGGCGGCCATAGTTGTGTGCGCAACTGCTGAGCGCGTGCTGATGGCGAGCTTCCACGGTTCTTTTGCAACGTGCATTCCACACCATCATGATTGCCGGCCTTAGCAACCTATTAATATGGGCTCGTTCTGGGAATGCGCTCTAGACCGCACCCACAAATATGGCGTCCAGTGAATTGCTCAGAACGAGCTCAGATCAATAGGGTGCTAAGACCGGCACTCTTGATGGTTCAGAATGCACGTTGCAAAAAAAGACTGTGGAAACTCGCCACCAGTACGCGCTCAGCATTCGCGCACACAGCTATGGCCGCCAGTGAATACTCCCTATAGCCCGATCTCACCAAGCGTTCGGCACATGCATGACGCCGCCATATCTTAAGTTCACAGGAGGCAAACGGCAGTGCACGAGAGGGCTCATGCTGTCTCCTGCTCCACACGCGCAGAGCTCCAGCGAAGTTGTCGCACGTGCAGAAAGGCTAAAGTTCCCTCGATGCATTGCGGCAGCGGTGGCGTAGTCAAACTGACTGGTGACATCGGCCTATTCGGCTTGTAGCAAGAAATAAGTCTGAGTTCAGTTCGTTACGGTGTGCACCGTACGACAAGGCATTCTTTCCTGCAGCAGGGTGCGCCATGGTGGACATTGCTTGCAGGCGAGCTCGGCGGAGTCGTCAATCCGTAGTTACACGTTCTCTCATTTTGCGGCCTGAACTTGGGACGAGTGCAAAGAGCGTGCAGAAGAATACCCTTATAGTTTGTTTCATCTTACGTCCGAATGCTGCCGACGTTATGCGCTGATGGTAAAACTCAGTGTAAAAAGCACTAGTCACTGGGCTTTCCCTGCGCATGATTGCTTCAGCTTTCAGCTACGATAGAAAGCGTACAAAAGCTTGACGAACACCCTATCTTGGTACACTTTTTTATAATAATGATTTTATTTCATACGATCAAAACAAATATAAAGTCAGACCAGCCACAGCCACATTAGACTTGACAGGCACTGCCTTAGGTAATCAGTGAAACAAGCCGTTTTTAAAACGAGACATGAAAAAAACAAATCCACACAAAGAAATTTAAAAGAGAACTTGTGAGCACTTTACAAACTAAAATTTATCGGGGCTTTTTAGGGGTTGTATTTTGCTATTGTATTAAGAATACTAGAAGGTAATTTGTTGAGAAAGGGTAGTTTGTACAGAAAATGTTAATTACGAGCTTTTGTTTTTCAAATATTGTCGAACATCGAGGTATCCGGTAACGCTCTTTAGGTCTAAGAACACGGGAAGGTACTTATAGAAATGTATATTCTCCATCCCAAAAATGCCTATGAGCAACAGTTTCCATCAATAGCGAGTAATAAGCACGCATAATACTTAAAAGGCGTGAATGTGCTTCAAAAAGGCATAAATTATAGGAAATATTTTTTCACAAAGGACGCATAACAAATAATACAAAATTGGCAGCGGAGAGCACAGTGACCAAGCACGGTGATGTCATAACGGAGCTCACTGTACACTAGAGTCTGTAAAACAATTTTTCGAACTGATTGTGGCTTAAGGCATCTAAATTTGTACAACAAACACGATACTGCACGAATTTTTGTTTACATGAATTAGCAAGATGAGAGTTCCAGGTTAGGTAACTGTCAAAGAATAAGCTAAATATTCTCATGGGTGCCCCCCCCCCCCCCCCCCTACACAAAATCCTGGCTACGTCCCTGATGTATAGGCTAATATACACATGATATACATTCAGGCTTATATATTTGTAAGGAAGAGGTTATATTAATTTGTTTTAAAGGGTTGCAAAGACGTATAGCTTGCGCTTTGGAATAATTAACTTTAATTAAATTAGTTTCAAACCATTACGTCGCTTTAATTGCCACAGTTTGTAAAGACAAGATAGCATCTGAATAAATGGACACTGAACAGAATAACGGTTTTGTCAGCATATTGCAATAAATATGTTGGAACCAGGTCATTCACATAAATATATAATAATAGACTTCAAATGGGGCTAGGGGACACAAGCTTTGATTAAAAAACAATGCGCGTTGACACCGTTCATATGAAGCACATTGAGGCCTATCCTGTAGAAAGTGTTTTTTTTTTTTTTTTTTCAGAAGTAGCTGAAAGAGCCTCGAAAGATTAACCTTAAAAGTTTAGAGAACAAAATACGGTGGAAAACACTATCAAACAACTTGCGAACATAAAAAAAAACAATGTGCAAGCATCTTGCTCCGTTCAAAAGCTAATGTGAGCATGTAAGAAAACATTTCGAGGAGCATTGGGGTATCTCGGCCTTGTGTTAATCTGTACTGATAAGGAGCCTGTGTTTATCTAACAAGTTATTCAAAGTTATCCACAGATATCCAGCAAAACAAGGTAGAATGAAGATAGGTCGAAAATTTTTTACGTCTTTTCGCGTGCCTCCTCTGGAAAGTAGAATGTACTGTTTTAATTGTTAACAGAATGCCACAATTAAATGTAACGTGACTAAAAATGAGAACAAAATATCTATAATCCCTTCGAAATATCTGCGCTAGTAATACTGTTGATACTTAGAAATTTCTTGGGCTTAAGGTTAAAAATAATTTAACTAAGCAATTCTTCTGAGAGAAGAGGAAGAGAAGTCTCGTCTAAAACATTACTGTTTAAAATACATGAATATGCGTGGTGTCCTCCAATACCTGACACTCGAAAGAAAAAAAATTATGATCATTAGAAATACTCAGTCCATCAGTGAAAAATTGCGAGAGAAGGTAGCCATCGTGTCTAGTGCAATTCTTTGTACCATGGAGAATGTTGATGAGTGACCAAGATTTACTTTTTGCATGTAAAAAAATAACGTCCTTAGATTATTTCTGAAGTGCGTGCGTTTTGCCTGACGAATCATGGCATCAACTTTGTTTCTATACTTCCTAAATTTCAACCGTAGCATAGTCTCACCGGGGGAGCGTTCCGACTGAACTCATACGACGTATTTTTCTTCGATGGCCGCCAATATTTCCGTAGGCATCCATTTCTGGTCTTTTTTACGCTGCTAATTTTTTACAATACGTGTAGCCGCTTTCTTAAAAGGTTAGGCTGAGCTGCCAACTGTTCATAACAGACATCTGGCGATAGTTAGAAGGAAAATATTCCAATCATGCTTCTCTACAAGTTTATTGAAGTCTCTGGGATTGACTATTAAAAAGTCCTTCTCAGCGCCCACGCAGGTCAACGGTTTAGATATTTATAATAATAATTCGACAAACAAAATAACGTTCAGCACGTTTAGCTGCAATCATTGAGTTAGTACGTTGCGAGCTTGAACGCTTATATGATGAATGCTATAGATACCTCAAGCTGGTCAAATTCACATTACTCCTGTATCGCTCTCTGAATTGTTGCTTCTAGGCCCCATTCAAACACAACACTAAAGTAGCCCAAGACTACAGTCAGTGTGGGACGAAGTAGGTCAATGTTAAAATCACCAATTACACATACAAGCTCTTCAGATCAGATACTGCAGAAAAGCTGCGCCAAACGTTATACTCGGGGTCGGGCGCTGCTCGATGATGAAGAGGCAGGAGACTTAACAAATAAAAGTAAATTTATTAAGTAAGTACCATGATACCTTTGACTGAAGCTTCAAACGCTCGTAACGTCGGCCGTATGCGGACTTAAGTTGAAATGAATAGTCGTCCAACTGGTTTCCGTGGAAAAGTGGCCACGTTCGTAGTATTCTTAATGTCAGCATGCTAAGGTTGAGATTTGGATTATAGACTAAGCTGGGGAGATTATGAGTATTAAAATAGGTTCGCCAAACAAAAGTACCGAAAAACAGCAGGTGGTCACCAAGAAATCGCCAGCGGCATTTTCCGGCGACCAATTGCGTATCAAGGTATAGGTGTGAGCAATAATAATCGCGATTAATACTCTAATCGTGATTATTTCTTAACCGGTTAATCACTTAGATTTTGACCAAAACAAATGCAGAGCCCATCCACTTCACTTGAAGATAAAGGACCAGCGAAGCTGTTCTCTTTACGACAAAAGCTACTAGTTTCCGTTTGGCATCGGCGGCCGTTCTTCGTCGGTTATTTTCGACCGGCGACGACGTTCACATTTCCGCTTCTGTCGCCACTGACGCTCTAGACGGGCACGTTCTTCGTCGGTGAGTTTAAAATAAATCGATGCCGATGGACCCACACCATCGGCCGTACCACGTTGGGCCACTGCGTGTTCGGCTTCTCGACGCTTTCGCACACATCCGCGCTGTTGAGCACGCCGACGATCCTTGTACGCGCGCTCTTCCTCTTCAGAGCGAACAACACGCGGCTCATGACGAGCCCAAAGGGCAACTGATCACGTCCCTAGGGAATGGCTACGTCAAGAGACAAAGGAACACAGCCATTGCTAGGTAGCTATTTTAGGTTTTACAGCGACGTTACAGCGAATTGCTATAGTGATTGAATAGAGACATATAAATACATAGAGGCGATGAGCTCTTTCAATAGACGACGTTGTAAGTTCTAAACCAAATTTTCGAGGCACACCTCAAGGATAGTTTTTTCCCGATTGAGGCCAAGTCTCTTTATTAGCATCCCGGAAGAGAAAGAAAAGAAGGTTAGATCGGGGCGCGTTCTTCCCTCAGCCTCGTCACAGTGCACTCTTAGCTGAGATAAGTCGGAGACCGTAGATGATAACAAGGGATCAGGACCTCACTATCTAATAATGCCAATCAAGGTTGACTCACGCAGGTTACCCCCTCGTTTTTTTTATTTATACTTGCCATGACCAATCGGAACGAAGGAGCGCCGTTTAAACGAGAGTTTTTTTGTTAACATCCACGGACACATTTTTTCCAGATCCTAGCACATAACAGCTTCGCTGTAAAAGTAAAACTTTAACGTTTCATCGCGCAAACGTGGACGAGTTCGCCTGTACAAAGGACAAATTTAGGTGAAAATTTGCCTTAAAGTAAACTGTAGGGACGAGATTTGAAACTCAAAGCATGTAGAGAGGGTTATACGTGTCCCGTCTATTCTCAATGGCACGCGAGAGACCGTTTAGCGCATCAGACACTATTGTGAACAATCAAAGGAGCTCGCTATTGCCCGAGAATATATCAACGAACCTTTTTGCCTCTGCGCCTGAAGTAAATATTTGTGAGAGTGGGTGTCTTTTGACTATTCTCAACGACACATCAAAGCCTTCAGTGATACCTTACGGCAAGAGTGAGTCGAAAAGGCGAAATAATGACGTTTTATCAATCAATCAACTACTGATCAAGTTTGATTTTAAGTCGGAAATTGCATCTTACGCCGTTTGTAACATATTCAGCAAAGTCAAGAACTATCATTTTTACTTTTTTATAATGTGCATGGTAATGAACGAAACCGATTAATGGATTCATTATTCGACTAGAGGGTGGCGATTAATTTAGTTAAAAGTTTTATTCGACGCCCAGCCCGACTTTGAAACAAGTACACAGAGCGCCATAACGCTGTCCCCCGCTTCGGCAACAACATCACAAACGCAGCTCAACCGTCAGCGAGAATATGCCATGAAGAAAGCCCATGTAAAGAACCAGATGAAGCGGCAATTCAGTGCGGTCCTACCACGACCCCCATAGTTGTGTAGTTGGTAAACTCACAAATTGAGCTTTCTATCTGCTATCTCCGACGTGTGACAAGTAGCGTTTTCGCAGCAAAGTTTGCTGTTCTCGTGATTCTGTGTCGGTGTGCGTACGGCAGAAAGTCACTGTGCCTGCTCTAATGTTCTTGCTCTCTATTGAGCGAACGTGCGCATGAACGACGCTTGAAGGACAGGTGCCCTCTAGAAACTTTATACTGCCAACGGTCTGAACGCGGTTGCATGAACTGTCGGAAAACATATCTTGAAGCTCAATGACGTATGAGAGGCAGATTAAACTAGAACTGAGGATTACAACGCGCCTTAAACATGTACGATCACATGCTAGATTCCGTGTCATAATAACTTGGCGAACTGAGGAGGTATACGGTTCCTGCGACCCATTAAGAGCGTCGGAGCAAGGCACGTGACACCACGTCAGGGGGACGTTTGTGTCACTGCGCTAAATGCAAGGCCCGGAGCAACCGGCTATCGTCTGCTGGACAAGCGTCCTTTGCTGCGAAACCGAGCTTCGGGTGCGCGTCCATCGCCACAACATTGCCGTCCGCTAGAGTAGCCAGCTCTTCGGGAACAGTTCATGAGAGAACCATTCGCTCAATTTACCCGCGAATCTGTGGCAGGTGCAAATGCCCGGGCGATGTTTTGAGCGTAAGTGGTTGATTACAGGGCAGCGATTGTTTAAGCATCGTTCAAAAGCAACGCTGGTCTCGAAAAAGGGTCGATCCGACTCAAGTATCTTTTTAAAAGGAACAGGTCTTCGTCTTTCTTCCGTGTCGTGTTGCGTAGCGTCGACAGAGATGCAATCGCGCGACTTCGATTGCCGCTAAACAAAAAAAGGTGCCTAGAACTACTTTTAGTCGCAGACAGCGCTGTTGCTGGAGTGGTAACAAGGCCTTCCTGGCCTCGACCATTGAGTGTTGTCCCTTGCCTCGCTGCGACGCCCTCAATAGGGTCGCGGAGGCCTCAGCCTCCGCAGTTTGCCAAGTTATCCTGAAACGGAGTATGGTCCTACGCACCCTTAGCCGTTCTTCTTGCGGGTTTCTTCACATCTCCTGGTGGTCTGAACACGAAGCCGTAAAAGCAGGTTCGAAAACACATGACGAAGGTCGCTGCTCTTACCAGTGTGGTACCAGCCATCAGGGTCTACTGCGTTCCTCGTGGCTTCAGGCTTGTTAAGGTAATGAAGCATAATCTGGGGTCCTCTAACCAAGATCTCTCCGTCCCGGTCGATACCCAGGGGCTTGTCTGTGTCCAAATCGAGAACCTGGAATTGCAGTTGAAAGGGAGCTTTGGCGGTTTTGGGGACCACGCAAGCTAGCCATACTTTTAGCGTATCCAGGCTTTACTTTTTCCGGCATGCTTTTTATTATCTCTACTCTAAAATTGCTTTTGAGAAAACGGCAGGTCAACATCACGCCGAAACTAATAGTCAAAGTTTCCCACGCTCCCGAGTGGGATGACGTCATAGTTTATAGAACTTCCAAATCAAGCGAGTAGTCTAAGAAACACAATATTTTGCAGTTTTTCTTTTCGTTTCTTTTGCTGCCGTAGACTTTTAGCAAACATTTCGCATGATCAAACTTTTCGTAACTCGTTGGGAATAAGCTGCACCTTCGCCCCCCTTTATTGCATCTGACGTTCCGGTTTCAGTGTTGCCAGTGGAGCCTCCTAGCCGCACAGACCCAATATGAAAGTACCATACCTTCCCAAAAAGTAAATTATAGTGACCTGTAATTTGTGTTACTAGTTCAGATGTTTCTACTAATGCGTAAAGGCAACACGTGTACCCACGTAATCAGCATTTTCTTTGGTTCTCGGGTAATTTAGCCAAAGGTCTATCTCAGACTTTTGAGTCGAGCTCCTTTAAAATGTCAAACGACATGACTGTGAGAAAACTCTTGAGTCAGGATTTTTGGCGTTAAGCCCCTGGCATCTTGAACATGAGCTATGTCTGCACACTTAAGGTCAAAAATTCCACTTAGATAGCACTTTCCTCTGTCATTTTCTCGGCTTAGGCCGAGAAAATGACCGTCCCGGCACGGTACGGTTAATGATCTATTAGAGACACGGAAACGGGGAACAACGCTGCGTAGGCGACTTCTTCGAATATTATGTCACGAGTGTCACAAGATTATGACACTTGTGCGACGAGTATCACAAAAGTATCACACAGGTGCCGTTGTCGTCGCGGCGTCACAACATGTAGCACGTCTAACGATGTAGTTTCCGTAGATTGATCAAGCTGAGGGGCGACCTACAGCTCCAGGTGGCTGTTACATCCACGGCCACCGCTGTGTCATAGCCATTCATGATTGGGAAAGACAAGAAAATGACACTTGTGTTACCAGTAGAATCGAAACAAGCGGGAGAGGGAGGGGGCAGGAGGGGCGATCGCCCTCAGACATTTCTGACGTTCTTGCTAAACAAGTTGAGAAAGCCCCCGCCCCCGCCCCCGCCCCATCATCTTTAGAGCAATCGACAACCCTGTGTGATGCCACCAGGTGAAAATTCAGGGACCTATATAGAGACGCGGCAGGCACACAAGTAGAGCGTGTTCTCAGCACCGTATACCAGCAGGGCACCAGTCACCCTTTGTTTATTGTGCTTACTCTCTTATAAATGGTGCGAACGTATCATATATTAGGTGACAAAGAACTCCAACCGAAATCGGCTCATATTCAACTTCGCACGATGCTGTTGGAGCATATAAAACTAAGCCGCAGTAAGACGTCTTAGAGTAACTCAATAAAGCTACAATGAAATTTGGGGCTGCGCCATTGTGAGGGTTGCAACATACCCATTTCAGCCCAAACTTGAGCAACTAAAGAATTAGTTTATAAATATGCATTTAGCAAAAGGATGTACTTAGCTCACTCGTATTTCCGTGAGTGGCAACGGATAGCCCACACTCTTGATGTCCCTGCTATGTGTTGATGTCATCGTCACCATGCCACTTGACTCGGTCATGCCGTACACTGAAGAAAAAAAAACACCCGCAGCGGGTCATGAGCATATCACACACTAGGAAATATTCCACCCCTAAAGGTGTAAAATGTCTTTTTTTTCCAGAGATTCGCCCATAGCCACACCATTTCGGAACTGTTATTTCGAACGACACACCCATTTTCATCGTAAAACAAGGTACTGTTGCACGGAACACCTTTCACTGAAGGGTATGAAAAGTGCCTATAAAAACGTGCTACAGTATTCGCCTCGAAATCGAACCACATCGCGCCGTGGGGCCAAACTTGTGATCATTTCAATTTGTGAGTGTAAATACCGCGGCGGCGTCTGCTGTGGGCGCACGTTGAGAAGCATGTATTTCTACGATGAAAGCTAGTTTCTGGCTGAGCTGCACTCTCCTTATTAAATAGTTCCACAGCGGCAGCTCTAAGTCGCCCGCCCCGCAGTTTCGCGACGGCGGGAGCGTAAAAAAAAACTTGTTAACACGAAGGTTCGGCCGAGTTGGTTTCTAATGTTGTACAGGGGGAACATATTTATAAACTCATGATGTGTGTGTGTGTCTGGGGAGAGGGGGGGGGGGGGCACTCGATGTATGTACCTCCAAAGTTATAAGAGTGTTCCGCTGTGTAGACAATTATTTTTTAATCGTTCTAGCTTCCGATGATCGCAACTTTACCACCATGGTTGCCGACGTCCTCGACAGTTTCAAAGTCTGCGTGAGCTCTTTGAAAATCACTCGCGTACTTCCAAATGAAAGCTCTTTAAGATTCCTGGATCTTCGACTCTTCATGTTACCCCACCATTTATGCTGGTCGTATGAGCCCAGGGAAAAAAAAACCGCTATTACCTTTCAACTCAGCGCATTCAAAATTAGTTAAGAGGAGCATAGAGCGGTTATGCCTCAAAAACGGTCTTACAGGATCCTGCTCGCATTCCATCCCACCGAGCTTTGACGGGCAAGTCTCTCGACTAAAACGCGCAGGGTATTCAATCTCGTTACTAACATCAGTGGCCAAAACGCTCATTAACGAAAGCAGGCCAGATGTTTGCACTCAACAAAAGCAAAGAGACAGAACAAAAAGTCCATCATTGTGCCATATATTCGTAACTTTCTCGCGAACTGAAGAAAATAGCTAACCGAGTAAACTTGGAAGCATCTTCTCAGCTCCTAACAAACTTCGCAGCTTGCGCAAAAAAGTAAATACCCCACCAATTACAACTGTCGGCTGCAAAAAGAAGAATAAAAACACCTTTCCCACTTGTACAGAGAAGCTGGTGTACTCCTTTTCCCTCTCTTGTGGAAAACTATACATAGGTCAGACTAGAAGGTGCCTCAACGATTGCCTTCGTGCGCATAAGAACACTTTCTCCAACAAAAACTCCGGACATTTAGGTATTCACTGTCGAGACATTGGCTGCTCAGTGCTGCATGGCAACTGCACCGTGCTTGGCAAGCACCACAACCACCTAACAAGAGAAATCATTGAGACCGAGAATATCGCAGAACATAACGATAGTTCTGTAAGTACTTCGTATTTAATCTTATCACAAAAAAAACTAGACTACCTAGTCTTGCATTAATTTTAATTTTAGTTTGTTTACGATTGAGCTAAATTAATCATCTACAGCTGAGAGACTCGTCGCCCGTTGAGGCAGACCAAGTTCTAGGCTGTATAAACATACACACAACCCAATTTTTTTTTTTTTTTTTTTTTTTGCGTGTCTGGATTTGAGTGACTGTTTTGCGGGTGCGCTGTTCCCCCTGTACATCGTAAAAGAAAATAAACAATTTCTCCGCTAAATTTGGCGGGAAAATTAATGTCACGTGACCTCACGTCACGTGACTTAGACAAATTCAAGTTCCCCGCTAAATTCAGCTGGAAAAAATGACGTTCCCTGACCATGCACCAATGCACTTTCACTTTCCCGGCTAAATTTGGCAAGAAGACACATCAAGACCTTGAAATCATTAATTTATCAACAACGTATCGACGCTAAATCAACGCAGCGTCATTTCCAGATTAGATCACAGTATGACGCAAGATGGGCGCAATGTCAATCTAACGTTATGGTCTCATCGTCGAATCAGCAGCACACCTGCCGCTGTCTAAACACATCATGTCGTGTGATCGTTACGCAACTTTTGTTTTTGTGGTTTCTTTTTGCTAAGAGTTGAATTGTATAGCTTCACATGCGCGGAAATTCAGCAAAGCGAGAAATATCACGTCGGATGTTTTTATAGTCATAATACTGTGGTTTTCAAAATTGCGGGTCCTACACATATGTTATTTCACACAAAACATAGCTTCCGTAAAATAATAAAATTTGATTGGAGGTGGGGGTAGATTAAAAAAAATAACCTGAGTGATCGCTGCCCTATACTTCACTAATCAATCGATTAATTAAAACATATATAAAAGACAAAAACTACGCCTTTTTACTATTTTCACTAAGTCATAAATAGCATAGCGCAGTCCTATTTGAAAGTTAGCGTTGTAACGCCTACAAAAATATAATCACGGGAAGCCTTTTTGAACGTGATGTTATTAAGACACATTTTTAATATCATAATTACTCTCGGTGACAATAACAAGAATGCTGGAGTGGTTTATCGTAGAAGTGTAGGTCCTCAAATATAATAAGGCAAGCATTTTTTACTCTTTTTTCGAAACTCAAGACTAGGGTTAAACGGCTAAAGCGATTTAATCGTAATTAAAGCGTTAGCTTCATTATCTGAAGATCAAGCGACACATCTTGGAGTCTTGATATGTGTGAGATTCGGGCGGAAGGTTATCGGAAAGTCCGGCGGGACTCGCTAGCCCCCCTCAGTAATGCTGCATTCACACTAGCGTTCAAATCGCAATCGTGAAACGTATCCGCTCGTTGTCATCATCAAATGCGCGTGAAACTGCACTGAATTTTCCAGCAACCGCGTTCGCACAAGTTTTGCGAATGCGGTTCAACCACCAGCGTAAATAAGGTATAAGAGGGCTGCTGCGACTGATGCTGCGTGTGACGTGGTGCGAGATTATTATTATTATTTTTTTTTTTTGGAGGGGGGGGGGGGGTCGCAAAAAGTATTTTACGCGGAAAAAAAGGTTTAGCCAAAGATTAAAAATATTAGCCTCTTGGTATCCTCGGCCCTTCCCATGAACATCGAAGTGGGTGAATTCACACTAGAGATAAGAGTATCTTATTACATGCAAGCTACTGGTTTGCTCGCTCACACTGGTTTAATCCAGTCGCATCATATTTATTGAAACAGTTTGTTTTACCTGCATCATCTGTCACGCCCAAGAGCAGTTTGCTAGTCGTAACTAGAAGAGACACTATTTCCTCATCCCATCATAACAGAATTATTGTGACTCCGTCAACCCCCCGCCCCACACTACGACACGGTAAAGGGAAACATCGGCTGCTGCGGTAAAAACTTTATTACTCTTAGAGGTTACCGAAAGCACGACAATTTTTTATAAGCATCATCACCAACTTGTCTCAATGCTCAACATTTAAATTTCCGCAAAAGCAAAAAGTTGTGCGACAAAAACATGGCGAAACTCCGATTCTACTCCCTAGGTATACGGCTTCGGATTCTTCGCTTTGGGTCATTTTCACGCTGGTAAAACAATACAACGTATTAAAAACAAAACAAGTATTTAACATAAATAGTACGGTTGACCGGGACACAGGCATTCGTCATAGGAATCTATGCTTTCCCACGTGTGTCTCGATAACAGGACGCATCCACACAAGCGATTGTTTAAATTTTGGCCTACGCTCGTAACACGAATTGATCTTCATTGTAGCGCGAAAAAACAAGCAAACAAAATAAGTAAAGAAAGCGTCGAGGCGGCAGAAAAGCGGGCGGTGATTCGGCGGCGTGACAGAGAGCGAGAGCGAGATCGACTGACTCGACAAGGTCGCGGGTGGCTGCTTATCTACTGTGCGTCACTATCTCGAAACTTCCGCAAAGAAGGTTTGAGCGTCACGCGGTCGGAACGAGAATGAACTGGCACTTTCGAGAACAAGAAAGCAGGGGGGAAGTTATGTCTGGTGCGAGAATGAACGTGAATCTTCTAGAAGTCCGTGACCGAGCGTTGATTTCTCGGCCCTGCAGGAGGCATTATCCCCCTCCCCCCCCCCCCTTTTTAAAAGTGCATCGTCCCGATGCAACGCGAAAGGAAAACAGAAATGGCTAAAAACTTTTACGGTGAAACGAAATAAACATACAGTTTTGCAATCCTAACGCCCGTAGAACGTCTTGAGTCGAACTACGTGGACGACTTCGGGTCGTGGCTTGCGGCGTCTTGATGGTCAAGTTCCGTCGAGGAGCACCTCGTAGTTCAAGTCCCCGAGGCGGCCAATGACCTTGTAGGGTCCGAAGTAGCGTTTTAACAGCTTCTCGCTGAGGCCGTGGCGGCGAATGGGCGTCCACACCCACACCCTGTCTCCGGGCTGGAGCTCCACGTCGCGGCGACGAAGGTTGTACCGGCCAGCGTCGACACGTTGCTGGTCTTTTATGCGAAAGCGGGCTAGCTGGCGTACCTCTTCTGCTCGTTGTGTGACCAGCTGGCCATTGTCGGTGCCGTCGTCCGTAGGGTCGTGAGGAAGCATGGTGTCGAGCATCGTCGTAACCTTTCTGTCGGGCACCAGCTGAAAAGGTGTAATCCCGGCGGTTTCTTGAACAGCCGTGTTGTACGCAAACGTGACGCAGGGCAACACCTCATCCCACGTCTTGTGTTTCACGTCCATGTACATCGAGATCATGTCGGCGATGGTCTTCTTTAGTCGCTCCGTCAGCCCGTTAATCTGCGGGTGGTATGCCATGGTCCGGCGGTGGTCGGTGTGGCTCAGGTGAAGTATCTCTTGTGTCAGTTGCGCCATGAACGAGGAGCCTCTGTCCGTAATCCAAACTTGGGGAGCGCCGTGTTCGAGGACGATAGATTCAACGAAGAACTTGGCTACTTCCACGGCGGTTCTCGACGGGAGTGCTTTTGTCTCGGCATACTTG